AGCAACGGCGTGTTTCTAAGGAATGAACGCATACTTTTCAACGATATAACAACGCGTTTAAAATGCAAGCTGCAAGCTCAACTGCAATTGGCTGTAGTGCCCCCTCTTTACAGTGGACGGCTAGACGCACTGTAAAGAGTGCTAAGATGAAGTACATACCTATTGTTTGTTTTATACCGCGCGCGCAAATGTTACAATACCGCTGGCTCAAATCTCAAAACGCTTTTAGCTTTCTTGAATTTCTTCAAAATTATACATGATATTAAAAATAAAACACAAAATAAAATATAACGAAAAATATAAGCACAATTGGCAATTAGAATGTAAGTTTGATATTAGATTCAATGTCTCTGACCAATACTTGCTGTGGACGTGTCCGACGTGATAAAATATTAATGGTTGTAAAAACTGTATAAAAATATATGGCTACCACTGAATTGGTATGTATATATTTATATTAAATATATATTTATATATTAAATGTTTTATTGTTTACATTTTATATTTATATTTTTAAAATATTGTGAAATAATTAAAGTGAAAATATCTTAATTAAAAATAGTACAGCCCGATAATATTTAGTTATAAATAATAATATTGCCACACATATACAGAGACAGTGGAGCGGGGGGTTGGGGTTGGGGGGGGGGGTGCTGTGGGGCTTTAGCCCCCCTCTCCCACAATGATGTTCCATACATATGTTTTATAAACTAAGAATACTGAAATCGTTCAGATCACAATATATTGTTATTGTTTAGATAACAATATATTTATAACTTATATAGCCAAGTATTGAGTATTAAATCTATTTCTAAAATCTGGTTAAGATTAAACAAATGATGGGAAATTAATATTAGATTAAGAGTTGTTTATTAAGAAACTTTTTAACAGCAACTAGTAAACTTGATTGCATTTCCAGGGATCTGGGAGGTCTCAGATTTCAAAATTTCCCAGGAGAGCATGCTCCCCAACCCTCCCGGCAGGTACAAAACGCAGGTTGCAGGTTGGAATTTTGCAGGTTGGGAATTTTGCAGGTTGGGAATTTTGCAGGTTGGAATTTTGCAGGTTGGGGATTTTGCAGGTTGGAATTTTGCAGGTTGACAGGAATTTTGCAGGTTGATGATGCAAACTGAAAATTACACTACTATAAAGTATTCTAGTATAATTTTATTGTGTACTTATTGCAGTCTGACTCCTTGTCACCGCTTTTGATATCAGCCTATCCTGCTACCATGTTTCTAGCCTCTGCTCATCACCCTTGTGAAAACATTCAAAATGACCAGATTGGCTTGGATCTTCAGGGGAACGAATGTTTCGATTGTTGCGAGGAGCCGACATGACGTGGTGGCAGTTCAGAAAATGCCTGAATGAGGTGTCTCTCCTCTGCACCCACTTATGAGACCACTCAAGCCCCCCAATTACCGTATCATTACTCGAAAGTTAGTTAACTTTTAATTAACAACATTCTAGTATAAACACCACGACATCATGTAGGCACCTCGCAACAATCAAAACATTCGTCCAGGGGCGTAGGAAGCTTCTAAAAGTTTGGGGAGGGGTGCCAGGCTTTGAGGGGCACTTGACGAATAAAAAAGGGCATCTAAAAATTATTTTTTTCCGGATATATCCAATTTTCCTAAATATGAAAAAATGTTCCGGAAATACAAAAAATTTTTTCGGACATCATATTTTTTCTGAAAATGAAAAAAATATTCCGGAAAATAACATAAATTCAAGTTTCGAAAAGTGCGCTTTGGGCAAAAAAAGGCAATCCTTAAAACATTTTTAACACAAAAAAAGGGCACTTTGCTGCCGGAAAAAGGGCACTTGGCAAAACTTGGGGGGCCTGCCTCCCCTGGCCATCCCCGGTTCCTACGCCCCTGCGTTCGTCTCCCTGTAGGTCCAAGCCAATCTGGTCATTTTGAATGTTTTCGCTGGGGTGATGGCCACTAGCCTTAGAGCAGAGGCGCCAACAAGGAGTCAGACTGCAATAAATGCACAACTAAATTATACTAGAATACTAAAAAAGTGGTGTAATTTTAAGTTTGCATTATCAACCTGCAAAGTTCCTGGCAACCTGCAAAATTCCAACCTGCAAAGTCCCCAACCTGCAAAATTCGCAACCTGCAAAATTCCAACCGCAACCTGCAACCTGCGTTTTGTACCTGCCGCTTTATAGTAGTGTAATTTTCAGTTTGCATCATCAACCTGCAAAATTCCTGTCAACCTGCAAAATTCCAACCTGCAAAATCCCCAACCTGCAAAATTCCAACCTGCAAAATATTTATACCAACTAATAAGGAATAATTGTATGTAAACTCGTGCTAATAAAATAAACCCATTTATTACTATTACTGTTACTGTTGCTACTTCCTATAAAAATAAAAATTGAGAGTCGAAACTTAAGGATGGAGGGGAACGATACGGATAGGAAATTTTGGAACCAGCTGAGAGCAGTGGTACAATACAAAGCCAACAAAGGGGATAGAACATGGTTGCCTGCAAATGAGGCTACATTCCGCTATCAAAGTTCTTTCGGATATTATTTTGGGGGCACTCCCACTTGGGGGGGGGGTGATTTACTGCTAGCAGGGAATTTTTTTCTGGGATTGTTATGTGCAAGATATTTTTTTCCTACCCATCACCATGTACGATTTTTTTGCCACTCTCTTTTCGCAACATTTTTTTTTCAATAGGTTATACTATTTAGATTCTTTAATTATAGTTAACGTTGAGTTTTCTAGCTTCATGCATTGCTTTTAATAATACATATTGCTATGAGGTATAACAGTTGGTTCAGGGCCTCTTTTAAGGTTGTGTAACTGGAGAGGACATATTTAGCGGGGGACCTGGAGAAGTTCCAGTCAGCAAGTCTGTATCGGCCTGTATCACTGCAGCTACCAGCATATATATGCATGGTTTAACTAATAAGTATACATCATAGGGCAGAAAATCAGGCTTTAACTAGGATTTTGAGGCAACCGAGTCGACAATCGAAGGTGCCAGCCTCTAGAGGGGTCTGGGGAGGATTTTGGATTTCTTGAATCTCAGATAAGCTATTTCCAGCATTATGAGGAGTTTTCCAACAAGAAATTAACCTTACACTAGTTCCTGAAAATCAAACACCAGCTGATCTTCTGGGACTGTTTTGCAACATTTTTTCCCCCACCAAATACTGGGGCAGGATATTTTTTCCCCCAGTTTGTTAGTGCAGGTATTTTTTTGTTCAGAATAGCCTTGCAGGAATTTTTTTTCAAAATCCCCCCCCCCCTTCAAAAGCTAAATGGTCAGCCCCTTATTGGTGCAGTTACTCTCTTTCTTTCTATTTTTCTTTCTTTCCTTTTCCTTCTTTTCTTTCTTTCTCTTCTTTTCTTCCTTTCCCCTCTTTCTAGTTTCTTCCTTCCTTTTTTTCTTTCTGCCAGCATAAAAATTTTCTGGGACCAATGGTCCGCTATATTTTCCACCCCTGAAATACAATCTGCTTTTGTGAAGTCAGAACAATTTGTAATGAGTGTGGATCATTCCTGAAAAGATCCACACTCCCCCAACAGAGGGAATTTATGCTGTCTGGAGGAGAAGAAATGTACTGTACTTCTGATGATAGTAAAATGTGGAAGGGGGATGTTAACTTCCAATTTCCTTTGTGGGGGATGTGTGCGTGCATGTTTTCTGTGAATGTTTTCTGAATTGATTATCTACCAAATTCACTCAGCAATCCATTCAATAATGGTTTGAATAATGAGTGCTCACTTGACCCTTGACTGCATGCCTTTCAATTTGGACTGAAAGTCTGAAATTCTTGATGTTTGTCTGTTCTATAAAAATTTTAATATGGTTGTATATATTGAAAGTTAATTTGTATATGGTGTCACGTCGACAATCATGTTTCTCCGTTTAATATTTCAAGTCAAGTTTCTGTTTTGAAGTCAAATATGCCTATTTTAATTCATTGATTTGCTGGGCAACAATATTTCTCACATGACAAGTACAGCTCAATATGCGAGCAAGGTAGCTTTTCTGACAACCTCGTATTCTGCGGCCACACTGTGGGCCTTTTTGACATGTTTGCCCCCCGCCCCCGGGGAATTACAGTAGCAATAGCGACGGCAGGAAATAACATTGCTTACATTTTTGTATGCGTGCCAAAGCGTACCATTTACTAATCAAAACTTTACTTGGCTCTAAAACGTATTTAATATCTTTCTTTCAATACCATTTAGAGCAAAATTCTATTGTTTTTGCTGTTGTACTTTAAATGCAAACTCACTAATGATGGTAGTTTGGTGGTAATGGTTTTATCACGTAATCACTTTTGTATTTACACTACAAAAGCACATGTGTTTTTCCCGTCCCATTTACTCAAAATGTCGAAATTCATTATTTTGCTGGTATCCGCATCCTATATTCAAGCCCATCAATTAAATTCAACTTTAGAACAGGATTCAAACTAGGAAGTGGTTATTTTCCCGAAACCAGATACAATAGGTAACACTTCGGACACCATTCATCCGATACCAGTATTTACGAGTTCTTCTTTCAACAAGCTAAAATGATAAATTTCAGTAGATTTCAGGTGAATCCTCCGTAGCCAAGTGGTTTAGCCATCAGCTTTCTTGTACTACACAATTCTAGTTGTGTTAGATTCGAATCCCACAATGAATAGTGAGGTGTGAGCGGATAGGGAGTAGCTCCCTACTCTGAGGTTAGATGGTTAAATGTTGTATGTACTGTACTATGTGTAATATTATAAAGGTTCAGATTTGACTTCCACTACCGCTTATGGAACCATAAACCAATCAGATGCATTTGAACTATTAATTATTATTATTAAATGAAATTTATATTGCGCCAGTTCCATATGCATGAATGCTCACTTGCATATTAAAACTATCCAATCAACCAATCAGATGCGTACTAGCCAGTGAAAGGTAAGGGTAGTGGAAGTCAAATCTGAAGCTCTCTATTCTTTTGGATAAATTGCACTGTAGTTTGTAGTTATACATTGGGATCTGGTGTTGGACAACCCCAACATTCAAATTAGTAATTACCTGGAGTCAAACCTTGGTTATGCTCTATAATTTGATTGTTTGCTGATTATGTAGCTTGAAGACATAATGTTAGATACAATATTGTACTGGATAGTCATGGTTTTGATGGTTTATGATGTTTATACGGGGTCAGCTGTAGCTTCTATTAATGAAGTTGTATTAACATTGTTTTAAGATTCTGCGATGCCAGTATCAAGGTGGACGGCGACATGTAGTTAAAGGCTTATTTCAATCTTCATTTGTCAAAGATCTGAAAGAAAAACTCTTCCTTATCACTGACGTCCCACTTCATTTACAAAGAAGTAAGTTCAAGGTTTATGTCCTGTTTTTTTGCTTCAAAATTTCATCTACAAGCGTAATGGTATGTAACCATTCATAAAAAGCTTTTGTCTGTCAGTTTTAATAGGTTTTCCCCCCAAGGAGATAAGCCTAAAAAATGAAAATGCATCGCTGTCAAGTACTGGCATCAAATCTGGCGACACTTTAATTATAGAACAACGTCATCATTCACACGCATCCAATAATGAAATTGTTCCAAAGTTAACAAGAAAGTAAGTTTACTTAATACGTTTTCATTTCTTGATCAATTGCCCCACAACAACCACTTTATGAACAATTTCTACAGTAGGAATAATTAAGATCGACTAAGAATAAATAAATGTGATTCAGCGGCCGGTTGTACGATTGCCTGCATAGCGCTATCCACTGGATAAGGATTTTTCAACCGTTGTACGGAGACCTACGGATGTGGACCTCACAATTAATAAAATAAAACTTCAATTTATAAATACTAAAGTTTGATCCGGGTTCACCAATCAACGAAAAATTTTAGAAAGGTTGAAAAAATCACCATCCGATGGATAGCGTTATAATTCGGCTTTCGTACAACCGGCCCCGGATCATTTATTTTTGTGTTTGATTAGTATAACCATTGTCATAGAATGTGTACTGTAACTATATTCCATTGATTTTTATCTAGAACTGTTCCTGCTGATAATTCATGTTTATTTGCTAGCATCAGGTACTGTAATAGTTATATAAATTATGAAATTTCACCTTGAACCTTTTTGTTACGAAGCGTTAAATGCGTCTTTAATTGTAATTAAATAAAGGATAAATAGATCATTTTTATCAACTCATCAACAAATCGTAATCCAGAATTACATGTACTGTAGGCAAATCCATGTTTGAACAACAAGCCGCTGTGTGCATGATTGTATACATTATCTAAAAGGCATACCATGAAAAATGACACCGATTTAGCAGAAAAAATAAATTTAACGTTTTGGGACCAAAAGACGCACAGAATTACCCTGTGAAAGATTATTCAAAGGTTTTTTCATTACAATGACTCTCAGAATGAAAATAAAAAAAATCCCAGCCAATTTCTGTTTGTCTTGATCGTGGAGGTTGCGTGGGATAATCCACGTACTTTCCGCGCGTTTGGAACTTTCGTCCGCTATCGTGCAGGGAGTAAGTCGACCCGAGCCCCCAATATGTCAATTTCAACATACCCCCATGGTGTTTCTTTTCCAAAGCAAGTTTGCCTTTTGCAAAATCAGTTGTGACAGAAAACACCCTTTTAACCCCAAAATTTGATCACGATGGCATAATTGGCTACTATTCATCCTGACGGATGCATGGTCAGATACTGTACGATTACGCAAGGTGAAAATCCACCATACAGTCCATCCTGTCAATGTTTACCACTCGACAAATGACTCTGTCAACAAATGTTTTATAGTTACGTGATGCTTGGCATTACATCGTTTTCTGGGGAACTTCGCAATCTTATAGTAACTGCAGTGTCAAATGATCCAGTTACATTTAATGAGGCATTTTTGGGCAGATCTAATAAAGACTATTGCGACTGGATAGCAAATCCTGAAAGATGGGGAGGTATGGTCCATGTATGGTTGTAAGGCGTATTTTTGTATTGTGGTTCCAAATAAATAGAAATCAAATTTGCTCAAGTTTTTAATGAAACTAGCTGAAACGCAATTGTAACTATGGAAACAAAATAAAATACATTTCACAATCATTCATAGCAATTTTATTATGATAATCGATCATCTGGATATACTATCCCTGAATGAATATTTCCCATATTGTGTTATAGGTGCAATTGAGATATCCATTTTGAGCAAGCATTACGAAACTGAGATTGATGTTGTAAACACAGAAAGTGGGCGAATAGATCGATTTGGTAAGTTGCACCACTATACCCCATGTACATACATGTATTCTCCGGTTATATAGTATATTATAACTGTACATCTAAAAATAATATGTTTGTGATGTTTTCCCTGGGTGTGTCCACGAGGTCAAGTCGGTTCGAGTGGGTGATATTTCGGAACTTCAGTCTAGCTCCTTCGATATCAGTGTGTTCTAGCAAACCAAAGGTCGCGGGTTCGATCCTCACCGCGGTCAAGCAAACTTTTCAGCTTGCCCGGTGTGGACACCCTCAGACACAACACCACAAACATATATCTTCACCTGAGTGCATAATACCACTTATCCCATACCTGTGTTAAAAGCGGCTTTCTGATTGGGTTAGAGCAGGTGAGTTTGTCGTCGAGCTCACCTGCTTTTTGCCGAACTCACCTGCTTTTCGCCCGAACTCACCCGCTAAACTCATACATGTCCAATACTGTCGACATGATACGGATCGTGAAGCAGCTTCACGATCCGTCAAATTCGTACGGACTGTAAACACGAGTCACGATCCGTATCAACTCGTAAACGCAATAGGTGGTCTCCAATAGCAGATGCTTGTTGCCCAGATCTACCAACATTTCGACGGATCGTATATCGTTCGTACGGCTCGTAAGACGATTCACGATCCGACAAATCCGTACGGTCCGTATACGAACTGTGAAATGGCTTTACGGACCGTACGAAGCGTACGATTCGTGAAAATGATTTACAGATTGTGAACCTATAATAAGTTCGAACACTATGACTATATATAGCCTATATGCTGTTTGCTATATCAATATAATATGTTGTTGCTCCGTTCTTGAGAAACCACGCAATATATCAGTATGATATGTTGTTGCTCAGTTCTTAAGAAACCACACAATATATCAATATAATATGTTGTTGCTCCGTTCTTAAGAAACCACGCAATATATCAATATAATATGTTGTTGCTCCGTTCTTGAGAAACCACGCAATATATCAGTATGATATGTTGTTGCTCCGTTCTTAAGAAACCACGCAATATATCAGTATAATATGTTCTTGCTCCGTTCTTAAGAAACCACGCAATATATCAATATATAGGCTAATATATTGTTGCTCCGTTCTTAAGAAACCACGCAATATATCAATATATATAGGCTAATATATTGTTCCTCCGTTCTTAAAGAAACCACGCAATTTATCAGTATTATATGTTGTTGCTCCGTTCTTATAAGAAACCACGCAATATATCAATATATATGTCGTTGCTCCGTTCTTAAGAAACCACGCAAGAAATCAATATAATATGTTGTTACTCCGTTCTTAAGAAACCACGCAATATATCAATATAATATGTTGTTGCTCAGTTCTTAAGAAACCATGCAATACAGGGTGTATCAAAATACCTGCAAACACTATATAATTTGCATAATTCTACTGCTTACTAGCATTTCAATGTCTATGCTTTAGGGCTGATTTCCACTGTTGCGTTTTTCGTACGCACGTACACGCACGTAAAACTTTGAATCCTTCTATTTTTTAAATATTTTACAAATAAGATAACAAATGCATACTAAAACTTGCGGAACACTAAATTCTGTTGCTTTATTTATTTGGTTATTTCATAAGTAACATTTAAACGGATTTAAAGTTTTACGTGCGTATACGTACGTATGAAAGACGAAAACTGTCGTGTCGGAAAGATGTCCGATCTTTTGCTGTCAGGTTATTGAAGATGTTCCCCATCTTTTCTTAACCAGTGGAAGCTTAAAAGGAGTCTTAGTTTATTCTTTACAATACGCTAAGTTAGAGTAACGCGGTGCAGCTAGTGCTATAGTTTTTTGAATAATAACTAGAATACTTTTTGTGAAAACTCTTGTGTCAGAAAGATGTCTCATCTTTTGCTGACAGGTTATCAAGATGTGCCATCTTTTCTTAACCAGTGGAAGCTTAAAAGAAGTCTTATATTATTCTTTACAATGACTTGTCAACAGTCAGCGTAAATATCATCCTGACATATTTGTACACTTTTATTTTAATGCATAACAGAAAATTAACTTATTACTTGCTTGGTTTCACACTGCGTTTAAGTAACTGAACCTGGATTGATGACATTTTATAGCGGTAATTAATAATGCGATTAGCCTTGCTCGCTTCCTGAAGTTGCAAACTCAGTTTGGTAAGCTGTAAAATATGGAATCTGGAATCTTGGAATCTTGGAATCCTGGAATCTTGGAATCTTATCATATAACCGCAAAATATGTTAGTATCAAGATATTATTATTATACTTATGCAACATATTGTTCTGCATGCGATAATTTAATACTTGGTGAATTAGCAGAAGCAGACCTTGGTAATATATTATCGGGTATATACTATACGTTGCAGAATTTAATATCTCCATCTTGATGCCAATTCATAATAATATAAACGCTGTGCGCGCATCTAAATAATATCGTCGGTTTATGAATAGAGTTAAAATCAAGTGCGTATGACCATTGCAATCAGGAAAACCTCAATTATCAATTAGATGCACTATAACACCTCGTATTCCGAATTTTTTTTTTTTTTTTTTTCCGTGTTGGTGTAGTGTACTCAGGTGAATATGATATTTTTGGTGTTACTCTCAGTGTATATCCACACCGGGCGAGCCCGAAAAATATGCCCGGCCACGGTGGGATTCGAACCTACGACCTTTGGAATACTATTGGTATCGAAGGAACTAGATTCTGTTCCGAAATATCACTTGCTCGAACCTCGTATTCCGTCAAAAAATACTACACTTGCAAACAATTGCCGTGTTCATATAGTCTATATTCAACGAATTAAGGTTATATAGTACGTGGTTAATGAGGCTCATAGTCTTGCTATGTGAGTAAGTGAGTTATATAGCACGTGGTTTTTCAACTGGCAATGTTGTAGTGGCAGTGCGTTAATCTAGCGCTTTTTCGGCGAAATTCAAACATACAATGCACCCATGCATACATGAAATCGATCATCAATAATATAGAACTTGTTTGTGTGATGTTACTCTGAGTGTATATCCACACCGGGCAGGCTTGAAAAATATGCCTGGCCACGGCGGGATTCGAACCTACGACCTTTGGAATACTAGCCCAATGCTCTTCCAACTGAGCTACGCGGTCAGGACGGTTCGAGTATGCGATATTTCGGAACTGAGTCTAGTTCCTTCGATATTAGTGTAATCTAATAATCATGAAATCTGCTGTGTTGGTGTAATGTACTCAGGTGAATAAGATGTTTGTGTGATGTTACTCTGAGTGTATATCCACACCGGGCAGGCTTGAAAAATATGCCTGGCCACGGCGGGATTCGAACCTACGACCTTTGGAATACTAGCCCAATGCTCTTCCAGCTGAGCTACGCGGTCAGGACGGTTCGAGTATGCGATATTTCGGAACTGAGTCTAGTTCCTTCGATATCAGTGTAATCTAAT